AAGGCTTAAGATACTCTAAACTATCATCTTCCTTATAAAAATATCTCACGATTTACCTTTCCGTATCACTTTTATCTTCTCCTTTACTCATATTTATATATATATCTTTTCATTCACCATTCTCATCACTTTGGTTTCCTATCAATGAATCCATAATCGGCGACTGGCTATGCCACCTCCTTTCGGAATCAAATTCATTCATCCACGATTCATATTCGCTTGGCCAACTCAACTCGCATCAAGTCGTTGGAATCCTTTTGCCTGGGAGAACCATAACCTTTGCTGGAAAGCGAACAAATTACGTTCCAAAGATCAACTACCGCAATCGATCTGGCGAATTAAATTCCCTCAAATAAACAATCATCGTCGTGATGTGGCGGAGATACCATCGTCATCATCATCATCATCATCGTCGTCGTCTCACAGAAACTCGACGTTTCCAGATCATCGCTTTCAATTTGTATCAAATATCTTCAAAGGACTTCGACTTTGACGTTGCCTTCGATTCATTCTTTTTTTCCATCTTTTTTCCCATTCTTCTCTTTTTGGCCTTTTGTTATTTGCTCCTCTATTTACATTCGCTGTCAGGAATGGCTGGAATGGAAAATAAAGGACTCGAGAGGCACTCACATATTTATTTGATGATTGCCCTTCTCTCATATCCCAATTTTCTTTATCTTTCTCAGTTTTTGTTTTCTCATTTTTTTTCCCCTCAGCGAGATTTGCGAGGCTCGCTAAATTGCATTCTGAACGCCCGAGCTGCGTTAAGTCAGAAGTCGATCAAGTGTGGATGCATCTGCAATCGGCAATCGGCAATCCGCAATGTGCAATGTGGAATCTGCATCTATGTATCCGAATCCGTACCTAGGCATCTGTAGATGGCAGACACTGCGTTTCGCAACCGTAGTGGGGTGTTTTATTACAGTTTTTAAGGCTTTGTTTATAATTTATCTCTGACTTTTTGACTTAAAACTGTCGACTAGTGGGCTGCTGAATATTCTATATTTGTCAAAATAAAAATATCTACTAATTTTGGTCAAGTTATGGCTGAAAGGTCGATTAAACATATAGCAAGAATTCTTTAAAACCATTATTCAGATTTTTCGTCGCAAAATTCCCATAACTAAGCCAATAATAATCCAAATATAAAATGGCATACCTCGTTGAGTTCGTTATTAAATTTCATATAAAACTGCATTCACAGCTAAAATTGTAACATTTTTGCAATTTTTCACAAAAAAGCTGATGTTACCCCTTATCGAAAATGCAAAATCTGAATTCCCCCTTTTTCCCCCAAAAACGATAGAATTAAGCTCATAACTAAGCCAATAATTCTCCAAATCTAGAATGGCATATCTCGTTGAACTCGTAATTTTATTTCTAACAAAATTGCATTCCAGGATGAAAAAGTAGGTTTTTGTCAATTTTTCGAAATTTTTGATGATGTTACCCCTTATCAAAAATTCTAAATTTGGTTTATGCCGATTTTTCCTTAAAACCAACAGTATTTTGCTTATAACTAAGTCAATAATGGTCCAAATAAGGAATATTATACCTCGTTGAGCTTGTATTTTAATTTTTAAAGGATCTGTATTCGTAAGTAAAAATGTACAATTCTTTTTATTGTCGAAAAAAAAAGATGATGTTACCCTTTATCGTATAAGCAAAATTCGGTTTGTCCCGAATGTCCCCTCAATAAGACAGTATTTTCCCCATAACTTGGCCAATAATGGTAAAATTATGGAATGTACGTTTGTTTTCGATTTCTTATCAGATCTGCATTCAAAGTTGAAAAAGTACATTTTTGGTCATTTGACACAATTTTTGATGATGTAACCCCTTGCAAGCAAATGCACAATTTGGGCCAAAATACGAATTTTCGAATATCAACCCAAATTAAGGGGAAAGTAGGACTTGGTCGTTAGAAACACAGAACAGTCAGCCTTTTAGCTGTATTAGCTTTGAATTGACTAAGTTAGAGTTTAAAAATCGATTAAAAATCTTACAAATATTGTATACTTTTTTCCACACCCTAATTTCACTTGTTAATAGCTAACCATCCTTATAATTATGTATGACATAGTAGCTACTGCATATAGCCTCCTTTACACTTTTGAAACGCACTTTATTTGAAGTTTGCGGCTTATAGAACCCACCAAAAATAGATAGAAAAAAAAAAGCAGAGAGAAAATTCGTTTTGCAGCTTCGTTTCATTGCCATTTGTTTGGCATTTTCGTGATTTCTTGTTTTCCTTATATTTACCCATTGTGTTTTTCCCGAAAAACATTCAAGTGGAAATCCTTTATTGAGTGCGAGATATTCCTATTCCTATTCCTATTCCTATTTCACATTTTCGCCACTGCTCACTCACTCACTCAGTTTTTTCCTGATTTTCAAATACTATTTTTGTTTGTTGCATTTTGCATGCAAAATTTGTTTTCAGTTGTTGTCCCATTGTTCGTTTCCTTTTCCATTGTCAGTTTTTACCACTGTGCAATAGTGATGAAAAAGGACGACATTTCTCGGCTACGGCTATGGCTTCGGCTTCTGTTTCTATTTACTATTTCCCATTTTCTACACCAAGTCTACGGCCATTGTTTCGCTTCCTTTCAATTGCATTTGGCCGTAGCAATTTGCATGTGCCCCCTAAACTATATGTGTGTATATATATATATATCCCTATTCCTAAACCATATCCCCTTCTACTTTCTCCTATTTATTTCTGTCTGCATATGTTGCGGCTAGCATTCGGCATTGTCCATCCAATCATCATCCTCATCATCATCGTGGTCAGAGCAAATTGTTTGCGGACGAAAGGACAGAGGACGGAGGACAATGAGTGTCCCTTGAGTGTGGCAATTTGTCTGGATGTAAAATCGTAGAATTATGGCCGTCAAATATTGCCAAAAGTGAGCCACTTAAAGGCCAAATATTTGACTCAAATTAACCCAAAATGGTTGCCATTACAAATTGATATTGAAAATAAAGCTATAGCAAGTTTCTTAACTTAACTATATATTAAAAAAAGCTGACACTAAAAAGTCATGATTAAAAATAGGAAAAAAAAGAAAAAAACAAATGCGATTTCCTAACTTTTACATTACAAACTTGTTTATATAAATAAATCAATTATATTCTTAATATAAACGAACAGCAAATGTGCTTGTCAATCAAGTAAATCTCTTTAATTTCTGTTTTTTAAATAACTTGTTTAAAAAACACCACCAAATTGGATTACAAAATCAGTTTAACAAGCTAAAATCTTAAAGGATTTTCCCTGCACAAAAATCCACACAAAATGCAATTAATCCCGTCGTCGAACTTGGTACTTTCGAGGAACACCTTCCTGTTTCTAGTAAGTCTAGTTAATCCCTGAAATTGCTTTAAAAGAAAAAAAAACTTTTCAAAGCTAATAAACAAATTTGCAGCATACATTCAAGAGCAGCAACCTTTGGAATTTTATAAGTGGGAGATTTTTGGGGGGGTTCTTTTAGGTAAATCGAAATAATTACAGAAAGATGCAGGAATAAATGATTCCGGCTCAGGGGATTTTAATTGCTGAAAAGGGCGGAGCTTAACCTGGGGGTAAAGTGTTGGCAAAACTGATTGCAAGATTGTGAAAAGAAAGTCTAGACAATCGGGTAAAAGGATTGCTCACAAAATGGGAAAAGGGTATTAACCTTTAGCTAAGCTATCAAATCTGATGGTTAAATAGCTTTAAGTTGTCCAAAATGTATTAAATCTTTAATGTTTATGTTTTTTAAGCAACATTCTGATGTTAATATACATTTTCTATATGAATTTCATGGCAATATAGGAACATAAATTAAAAATCAGTAAAAATTGTTAAATTAGTAATGGAAAACATCATCCAGTACACGATTTTAAGCTCTTAATAGCCCTGCATTTTTTTTTAGGAAAACTTCTCGAATATTTAGCCAACAGCAGCAATAAAGTATTACCAATAAAGTATTACCATTATCTATAAGTGCATTTATTTACATGGCAACAAGGACGAAAAACGGCAAATAACAAAAAATAAAAGCCAAAAAAAAGGAACAAACAAAGTGCGTTTGTTTTATGGCCGGCAAATCAATCAACTTTATTAATTACAAGTAATTAAAGTTTAATTAAGAGCCCAGAACGCTGCTTCTTCTTGCTTTTGTTTCAAGGTTGCATGTGTGTGTGTGTGTTTGCGTGTACGTGTGCGCTTGTATAATGTATGTATGTATGCGTGTGCTTTTGTGTGGAAATAAATGCAAATATTTATTTGGCAAAAGTCACAATTTGTGGAACGGTTGCGGTGAACGATAGGCGGCAGTGTTCGGTGGGCGGAGTCGAAACAAAATGGTGGCAAAAGTAGTACGATATTGTTGTTGTTGTTGCTGCTGCAATTTTGTTTGTCTGTTTAATTAAAGCAATATGTGGCCTCGAGGAAAGGAATGTTGGGTTAATTGACTCATCACTTATACGACAAACGAAGCACAAACAAACAAACAAACAAACAAACAAGCACATAAACACACACGCATGTACATACACATACTCACACACACATATACAGTACAGCAGGATGGTGAAGAGGAGGCAGATGTGGGCTCCAAAAAGCAGCGCAGTCGACGAAAAAGAAAGAAGATGAAACAGTTCCAAAATCAAAGGGGAGAAGGTAGGCGTGGCCAGCGGTTTTGACATTTTGAAAATGACACTTTGCGCAGAGTACCATGATGATTTAGGCCAATCACAAATGTGGATTTCATATGGAAAGCAACGCCCACACACATAACGGTAATAGTGGGAACAGCAGGTGCTAGGCAGCGACATCTGACGGTCAAATGGCAGCTCTAAGACCCACTGTTCAAATATCACAGACTAAAACCAAAACATTTTGGCGAATATATCCTCCACTGTTAGCTAGTACACAAACCACTTTAGCGTTGTTATTTCATACACCGATACCTATCATTGCTAAAGGCAATCGAAAGAAATCATTGTCTGGACCATCACTAACAAAAGTATTATTACAAAAAATCAAAACAAGCCAAAACACAATCAATTTCAATTTAATTGCACCGCGAATATGCAACCTCCCCATCCCCCGCCCCTCTGACAGTGTGCGCAGCAATGGCCACGTCCCCGCCTACAATCGCAGTAGACGCAGCAGCAGAAAGCGGAGCAGCAGCAGTGGAGCATCCGCAGCAGAAGCAGCGCCAGCACCAACAACATCAGCTGGCAAGGAATTCTCTGCTCGCAGATTTGCGGAGATCCACAAATTTCTGGTTCCGGGCTGCCAAATCAACGGACGGACTGCAATTGCTGGCCCAAAGTTGCACTAGGATTTTACAACATGGACTGGTGAGTCCCCCGGGGGAAATTCCCGAAAATTCACACACACACACACCATCGATACCCTTCTTTTGAGGGGCATCTTCGTTTCTGGAAGCAGTTAGATTTAGTTTGGGGAATCAGAAAAACTGTCACCAGAAAAGTTCCCAAGAAACTTATACTCTTTGGATACAGAAGCATGGAGAGCTAGCTCTTCTCAATTTCCATACTCTGATATTATTATTTTTTAGTACGTATGAATCTAATCCAAGCTACAGGCACAGAAGTACATATGTAGGTTTATCAATGTTCACAAACAGTATTTGTAACTCAATCAATTAACTAGAAAATTACACACATCCGGCGAATCTGAGGTGTATTCGATAGAAATCTAAAGAATATTCCAATTTTGATATAAAAAAAACACAAATTATCATCCCTTTAAAAGGGTATCACTTATTCGCTGCAACATTGACGTCGATATCCCCCCATTGTTTTGCAATCGAGTTGTAGTCGTATTTATGCAACGCCTCACTCTCTTTATCAGTTGCAGCCTGTGGAACTTCAGCGACTGGCGGACGACTTTGAGTTTTTGCTGGCAAGTGCGAGAAAACAGCAGCCGCAGGCTAAACCAACGCCTTATCGTTCGGATTACACGACCAGAGGATGTGCGTCATTGGTCACCGGTGTGGATGAGTTTCTAGGCGAATGGACCACACGTTGCCTGCAAGCCCGCTGCCTTTCGCAGTGCCTGCAAACACTGGTCGCCGATCCAGAGTTAATGGATCTGTATTATCCCAGTTCGGAGGCTTTTTTGCGAAAATCCAGTGACGCCACCGCTTTGTTCGTTTGCTTGACAGCTGTCCAGCTGAATCAAAGCGGACTACTCGGCCAGCTTGAGGTCAGGCATCAGTTGCGACATCGACGCACTTGCTCCCAGCCGAACTTTAGCATTTCACCAAAACTACAAGCTGTGCCTGAGGAGAGACTACAGAAACGCAGTTTTCTCAGGCGCCTGAAGAGCCTACCTAATCTTAATCAGGAGGATCAAGAGGAGCTGGACGAGAGGACATCCTTTAGAAGACGCTGTCAAACGTTCAGTAGCTCCAGGAGCCACAAACTAAGAGAGGATCACTTGGATGCGCCATCTAGCAGTTCTTGTTCCTCACAAGACAGTCCCAAACGCATCCAGCTGATTAACTGTGATGATATAAAGATCTGGACCGATCAAACGGCCCAGGAAGTTCCGCCAGAAGCGCATGAGAAGAAGATGCAAGAGGCACCCAAAGCATCCCCATCAATGGGAAGTTATCTGGGCAGCTTCTTTGGTTCACCGCCTCAGTACACCAGTTGGTTTCAGCGTGGCGTGGGCGAGGATCTAAACGCCTCCGGAGATGGAGGTATGTTGGACTCCTTTCTGCCCGTAAACGGACGAAAGCTAAAGAAGCAACATACCCTTTTCGAGGGTGTTAGCATGCTAGACGAGGCTGCTTCGGCCACAACCTGTGCATCGTCCTCTGCTCCTTGGGATATTCAAGGTTCAGCCGGTGGCGGTGGCAGCACCACCACATCAACAACAGCATCCAGCTCAGTGAGCATTACGCCGGGCAGTGACAAGATGGACCAGCAATCGCTGGCCTCATTCCTGCAAATGTCCCGGCAAACGCACAATAATACCCAACTGGAGAAGGAGAATGCACACTTCCGAATTTCGGAGGCCTGCATTACGGCCATAGAACATGTCAAGTGGAGCAGGAGGCTGGCCAGACCAACTGGTCCGGCGAATACGAATCCCTCGGAACCTAATCTAATGCCCTATGTGGAGCAAATTCCCGGTGATGTTCAGAATCATAGTGCCGAGGCTGTTGGTCTCCAGCTGATATCCCGCTTTAGCGATCAGCAATTGCCTCGATTGGGCCATCTCAAGTGGCTGGTCTCCGAGCAGGAGGCACCGCAGCAACTCCTGCCCCTACCGATTCCGAAACAGGATCAAGAGCAGGCAAGCCTGACTAGAGGCACCTCCAGTTGGGCACCACCTCGTCAGCAGATCATTTTCACCGAACATCCCGCGGAGAGTCGTTGCAAGCTGCTGCAAAAACAGAATAATCGCTGTGCCGGATGTGGAATGCGCGTGGCCAAGCACCTGCAGCAGCACTTTCGCTACTGCAGTTACCTGGGAAAATATCTGTGTACTGGCTGTCATCGCAATCAGATATCCGCTATTCCCGCTAGGATCCTCCGCTCCTGGGACTTTCGCTGTTATCCAGTTTGCTCTTTTGCCTATCGCCTAATCGAGCAGATGTACGCCTTTCCGCTATTCCATGTCCCGGATCTAAATAGCCAACTGTACAAGCACAAGGAACTGGCCAAGGCAAGAAGAAGGAGACTGCAGCTCCAGGCGGTCAAGGGATTCATAGCCAACTGCCGATTTGCAACGAGGTAAAAATGAGGCACTTGACTATCAAAATATTTCACTTTAATCACTTTCGAACTTAATTTCACAGAGAACAGTCGTTCTTCAATGCCATTCCGGTGCACATTACCCAGGATCCGGACATGTGGTCCATGTGCGATTTCGTGGACGTCCAGAACACCAGCATGAATCGCTCTATCAAGGAGGTGATAGCTCTCAGCGAACAGCATGTCAACAATTGTGTGGTGAGTGGTTATATGGGTACCATTTAAATCAGTATTTATTGTTGTTAATATTTATTTTAGCTATGTACGGGTCGTGCCTTCCTTTGTGAGCACTGCAAGGGCGGTGAACCCATCTATCCTTGGCAGCGAAAAGTTCAGCGTTGTGAGCGCTGTGGTGCTTGTTTCCATCAAGCTTGCTGGAAGATCAGAAGTCGGTCACGCAGCCACGTCGATCCGTGTCCCAGGTGCTCCCGTCTCCAAAATCGTGCCAGCTAGCATTCGATTAAGAAAGATTTCAAAAAGCGAAGGAATGGATAGAAAATGGTGGAGATATTAAGTGAAATTAACACTCGTCTTGGGAACTATAAGTTTAGTATTCATTTGTAGTCAGACGTGCTTTGCTTTCCACTTAAAACAGTTTTGGTGATGGGGTCAAAAAATAAGTATTTATAGTATGAAAACCTCCTTGATGGATCTTGCGATGGTGTTTTTTTTTTAATTTTCCTGATTAGTTTTTATTTTATGTAGAAAGTGGCCTTTACTTTTTGAAATGCAAAGTCCCTGCTTATTTTCCAAATGCAAAATGCTTGCATTTTGATTAAGTAAAACGTGAAGAATTTGTTAAAGTGAAAATAGGAGCACGTCTAATTAGAATTTCTTTGGCAAAAACTAAAAAGTTATCATTTAGCTATCATTTTTATTAGAAAATAACTATAATTTAACCATTCAAAAAATACTTGTAATAATCAACTAACGAAAGCATATTTATTTTTACAATTTATCGAAAAAAAAATATCTAAATTAATTTGAAATGCTGATAGTAAACTAATAGTTTCCAAGGTCGAATATAAATTTCACCCACACTAGGAAGTACATTTTTTTTTTGCATAACATAACTACGATTATTTAATACAACTAATGTAAATAACCGTGTAAATTACCAAAACTGTTACGAGAATCGTTTACCTCAAGCGAAAGATGAAAACCCAATGTTGATTTTATACATATATAACAGCTACGATACGAATATTTATTGCATACTATATATTGTATGATTAAAGATTTTATTTTCTTAACTATCTTATTGACTCAATTGCTCTGGATGGATGCATCATAATGTGAGTCATGGGGAGGTGGGAAAATACCCCAACGGTGTGGTTTTAAACGAACGTAAGTACGATTAAAACTAAGTTGATTACTTTTATTAATCATAAAATAAACGAAATGAATTTATATAATCCAAGAAAATTTGCATGTTGCAGATTCTGTAACAATTTCAAAGTAAAAATGCAAACATATCATTTTGGAGTTTAATTAGATTTCATTTAAGTGCTTTTCAAATATGATTCTAATATTTGAAAATCCCGAATTTCACCTAAAATGCTAGTTCCACTCCGCGAAGAACCAGATCTTTGGTATTTTTCTAGCGCGTTAGTATTTTTATTGTCACATATGCGGGTATACGTCATTAATTTGCGAACTAAAATCAACCTATTAAGAGGTAAAGGCCAACTAAAATCTCTTTGAAATCTAAAAAATAATTTACTAATAGATTTTCCATCAAATAAGCAGATTTCTTTTCATATTAAACTTTAAATTCATATAGAAACTAAATTATTATTTAAGAGCTACAGATTATTCACGATTTACGGCACCCATAAACATCGGAACCGGAACGAAAAGAACTGAAACGAATGCGAAGTGAACCGCGATTCTTTATTAGTTACCAATCGTAACTCACGCTGCGCGCATTGAATTCACGTTCTGAAATCGCATAATAACGCTATAAACTCCGCGATCACCGTTCGTTGATGGTTTTTGTTCTTGTTTTTTGCGCAGTGCGTGTGTAAATGTGTGTGCTAGTGTGTGGCGCGGGCGGCAAATGCGAAAGAGCGAGCATTAATAAATGCCGTCTAATTGTTTGCTAATTAATTAATTGAGGCAAATCGGCAAAGGCAGCTAACGACAAATAAGCGAAAACACTAAATCAACAGGTAAATATTTCCAGCGAAATACGAAGATGACACAAAAACTTCCCAAAAACTCCGCTCTTCCTCTTCTTCGCACACACATGCGCAAATTAGGAGTGCGTATGTGTGTGTGCGTGTGTGCTGTTTGGTTATTAAAAATGTCTGTCGCCGCCAACGGAAAAAAACAAACACTTAAAAGGAAGCAACAACAACGCCGGCCGCTTGTCCCAGAAATCAAAAAAAAAAAAAACGAAATGCAAATGAATGGGCAGAGCGGAGAGCAAAAAGTAATACTAAAAGAGCATATAGAGCGGCAATAGAGTGAGGGAGATAGTGGTATTATTACACATATTGTCTTTACTCTTCCGTTAATCATAATTTAACAACCCCTCCCTCTCCGATTCGCTAAACTTCTTGTTCACGTGAATTTCACACTCTTTTTCAATCTGCCTCTCTCTATCTTTCTCCCTATCCCCCTCTTGCTGCGTCTGTGTGAAGGTCAACTTTGAGTGTGTGTTTGTGTGTGACCCTGCACTTGGAGCAAAAAATATATATTTTTTTTTTATTGATTTGCTTCATTTTTTTCGCTTCTCTCGCGGTTTCTTTTCCTGCTTCTATGCCATTGCAAAAGCAAAATCAAAACAGCTGATACAGTGACTACATAAACTTGAAATACCCTGCAAAAGTAGGGTACATTCAATAAAGGTCGCGTGACATGCGACAATGAGAAACGAAAATAGAAAACAAAAGAAGGAAAATGAAAAAGGGGGCGCCATCTGTTGGGCATGTGAAACACGTTTAAACGTAAACAACCCATAAAAATGTTGGTCCAAAAAACTAATCAAATTTAAAGGGTATTTAGTTTTGCTAACAACTTTTCTTTAGTCGTAAAAACTCTAGAAACCAGCTATTATCTAAAAATAAATTATCCATGAAAAAAGAAATTTCACAAATGACTCCTAATTACAGTCTTTTAAATATGCATTTTTTCTGATTTTTATGGATCTCAATTAAACGTCTTAAAAATTTTAATATCACCTTGTTTAATATAAAATATTGAAATTTCTATTATAGCTAATGGATGTTTTTATCATCTACAAAATGAATTAATTAGCAATAAAAAGGGCATTCTTAGATCGATTGTATTGTTTGTTAATTGCTGTTTTTTTCGATTTAATGACTTAATAGATAAACCGAATTGCAATGAGAAACTTAAAAAAGGGTTAAGAAGTATTCCTAGAAATTTAGTTCCTTACTTTTTAAGCACTCTAAAATAACACTCCTTTGATTTATATTTCCTAAAAATAAACCGCACTTGTAATTTAATTAAACCACAAACTATATGTAGCTTGTAGTTACAAGTTCTATTATTTTAGTAGTTCGCACTTGTCTTGCTTAGTATAGCCCCACCTCCAACTTTCTGGGGATTTGAGTCGTTAGGATATTTGTTATTTGGTCGATAGCTTGGGGCTCCTGTTGCTCCTTCTGCCGCCTCGTCAACGTTGACTTGCCCATATACGAGTATAATGCTAGTTGGATGGCCAGTTGGATAACGCGTTTGATGGATGGATGAGGTCATAGGTGGCTGGGAACTCTCAGTTATTGGAGTTACCATCTATGTTAGAAACTTTATATTTTTTAGTTTCTAGCACTCTTGAAAATATTACCCATAAGGAAGAAAAACTATTCTGCACTTCACTATTAACCACAAACAGACTTAAAAATATTTACAGTAATTATGAATTAAATAATGTAAGCTTCATCTTCTTCCAAACATTCTACTATATCCCTTTTTTTGTTGTTGAATTTTTTCAACTCCAAATTCCATTTCTTTCCTAAAAGTTCGTCTGTAATACCCAGTATTTTGTAGAGTAGTGTGGTGTTTTGTTGACTTATTTGCTGACTGGGGCCATCGGTCAATGCAATTACTTAACCACATTTATTTATTGCGGAGTATTTCGGTCTAACTAAATGTACATACATTTCTACATGACCATTTCACGGCCACTTGCGACCGCATAAATTCCGCTGATTCCACACGCCCACCCCAGAGACATTGATCCGTTCCGGACGTAGTACAAGTCGTTCATCTGGCGCGATAAGCCACCGATTCGATATCAAATGAATAGAAATGCTGACGTTTTCATTTCAATATGATCTCCATAAGAGGAGTTTACATATAGAAATCATTAAATCTTATAAATATCATTATGCTTGGGTAATAGAAAATCTTTCTGTTATAAGCTTAAGAATAAGAAGAATTTTAGCAGAGATAATTAACCTTTAAAGTGGGCATAATGCATGGGAAATATTTATTTATATTGCAGTTACCATATTTTGGATTTTAAATTTGATAAGACTTCTAATTAAGATCAACTTTCTAAGATTTGTAGAGTACGATTAACTAATTATACCTACATGAGTTGCATCATATTTTTCGCTGATCTTTGGACGGCTCGCATGGCAATATGGAAAAAACAATGTATAGACATAAAGATAATGATTTAAAAGGCAATGACAGCAAAAATGGAAAGTTTTTATTTAAGTTATGACACAATATCATTATCAAGTTCAAACATACCCTTTGAACGCAAAAATAAAAAAAAAAAATTAAGGAAAAATACAATTTGCAAGACTTTTGATTCGAATCGGAACTCAAAAAGTCAAGTTTGATAAGTGGGAAACATGACTGATTGTCATGTTTCATTTTTTATCTGGGTGGAAACGCCAACGCGAATGGCCACGCCCCTTATCCCGCTCCCAGATCGCAGTCCCTACTCCACCTCCGCCTCCTCGAAGGCCATCGTTGACGCGTTGAAGGCACTTGAATCAATCCACAGCACTTGAATTTGGCTACGTTAATTTTCCACCCATCGAATCAATCCCCTCACCTGCCCACCTTATCAATGATGACCAAAAAAAAACATAAAAAAAAATCCTCTCCACTTTATGCAAATTCTATCATAATGATAACAAATACCGGCCGCCGTGTTCTATAAATACGATTTTCCGAGTGTGTTTGTTTACCCACCATTAGTTGTGTAATTTTATGCAGATAGTAAAAACGTTAAGTGCGATAGCGGACATGTAACCCACCCATTGCAGGGGGCTGGATAAGGAGACTTCGGAGCTCTATTCGGAATGGTAAGAAAACTATTCAACTATCTGGAACTATAAACTATTTCTAATCTTTGTACATTTTTAGGTCACACAAACTGGCGCCATGCTCGAAATGACAAAGTTTAAAATTTCATAATAGGCAAAGAGGAATTTTGAGAAAAAGGATCTGGATAGGAAATAGAAATTTAAAAATGTCTATGTGGAAAATAAGATTGGAAAACTTCTCATTAAAAAAGAAGTATAAAAGGAAAACTTCTGCCTGTTTAAAACAGATTTAAACTTCGTAAAAATTCTTTAAAATTGCTCAAATCTGGAACATAAAAGAAATCAAAGAAGACTTTCAGCAGACACTGTGTCGTCTGGAGATTCGAACAAATACAAGATAAATGAATATGGATGTCAGCGAAATACAATAACATCATATATATATATATTTTTTTTTTTTGGATAAGATAAAGACGAATACATGAGGTGCTCTTTTAAAAATGTCGTACAAAAATGTCGGTAAAAACTGGAAACAGCAAGTTCGTTTAATTAGTTGAATAATATGTTATCAAGTTACCAAAAAAAAAAAGGTACAACTAAAATGTATAAATAAAAGAAGATAATTCAAAACGATAAACCCAACATTTATAAAAACCGAATTAAAAAATGTTAAGCAAATATTAATTAAGAAAATGGAATCATCTAACGAGTAACTAAGTGCGAAAAAATCCATTAAAAAATTTCCGATAAGATAGATAAGAAATTCTTTAATTGAAAAGTGTTTATTTGTTACCCCCAACAACCAATCGATTTTGGTAGAAGAAATATCAAAAATCACGTGAGATGAAACGAAACAGAATCAAAAAAAAATGTTAACCAACTTCTTGAAATTTATATCAGTGACGTCGAGAGCAAAGTATATAGAAATTTAATCAGATATCAGATAAGCTATATAAGGTTATACTTCTAGTATTTCTAAATGGGGAAAAGGCCAATGACCAATGCAATTTCTATTTGCTGAGTCAAGTTGTTCTGGAAGTTTCTGGTTCCTTTTATTCTTTTATGATATGTAGAATCGAGGCCGAGACTTTTTAGTTCAGCCTTGGATCGGATTGTTGGGATTCGGAATCGAATGGGAGTTATCTGGAAATGCTTTCGTTATGATCGATTCGTTTATTCTCGAGTCTCGACCCATTAATGTCTGTCGTAAATATATAGCTCGTGTTCCTATCGCCCGGGCGATAAGCTCTCTCCTCCACACGTCTGCCGATCGAACTTCTTGACACTTGCACCTGTAGAATGTATGTCTGTGACACTATATAGTTGTTAATGTATTTGTGTCTATATCTCTGAGTGCGTCGGTTGGCGGATTATAAAACTGCCAATTAAAATCATATTTGGTTTTATTGTTGGCAAATATTTACCATTAGCCGTGTTAATCTGAGTTTAAGCAGTTCCCATAAATCGATAGAAACTAAATTTATTTTATGGCACTCTCTTCTCGTCTGGCTTTCAAGTTCTTTAGGTGCAACGAGTGAGTTTTAATTTTTAAGTTTTAAGCTACAAGTTTTACTACTGTGAAATATTATTTAAGGTGTCAAATTTCTTAACTTATGTACTGAGTTATTTCGAAGTTCTTATCTTAATTACTTTTCAACACCTGCCGGGAAATTACATTTTGCTTACATATATATATATAAAATCCATTAAATAAGAGGCTTGCGGGGGATATAGGACGTCAATGAGTTATGAAATCTTAGCAAAAATAATTAAAGAATAAAGTCAAAAGATTGAAAGAATTATTAGATGCCGCCATAAAAACCTTAAACCTTAACAAACCAATCTTTACTTTTATTATGATCTTTACAGCTTGCTCTTGGCAAATCTGTCCGACAAACCTAATCATATCGATTAGATTAATAGCCATATAATTGGCCTTCGATTTTTTTTTCCTTTTCGATGGATATGTTCAGCACGCGTTTTATGCCTTTTAACACTTTATTTTTTTTTCCCCTTACGTCAATTGCAAGAATTTCCCTGCCTGCCAATCAATATTTAATTGTAGGAACGTTTTACCTACCATTCGGTAACCCCGTTTCGTTTCAATTGTGTTTTATTAAAAGTGGAAATAAAGTGAAAATCAATAGATGAAAATTGCTTTATAACGACGGAAAATTGTGCAAACAAGATGACAACTTTGCGGCCCTTTAGTCGCTTGAATATTTAAGCAATGGAAAACATAGAGGAGGTTCCTCCTTATTGAATAAAGACATTTTGTCCTGTCCTTCCAACGCACTTTAATTACACAAATGGCTAATCAAACGTTTGATGGGGCGGAGGAAAATGCATTGGCATTGTTGGTATCAATTTTCCAGTTGTGGGGAAAAAAGGGCGAAGGGCGGATCCCCAGCACGCGAATTGCTAAACATTTAATTGATTCGAGTTGACCATGGATTGCCGACTCCCGTTTCCCGCTTTTAGAAACCAGATATTACTAGATGTATCAAGGTTATGATGAAGGCTTTATGGGTATATTTGAAAAGAAAGAGGAAAATATTTGACATTATATACAAATTGTAGAAGCAAAAATGGCTTTGTAGCTAGAAAATGTATTAGACAAAGTGTTAAGTTTTCCAAAACTTAGCAGTCAGAAATTGTAGAATATTACTATTTTGTAATATTTTTATAGTAAATGGACATAATTTTCAAATTCAATTGTCCTTTCTATAAATTATTATTCTTAATTGCTTAAGAATTCCGAAGAACCTGAGGATTCCTGTTTGATTTCACTGATATATCATATTATAATCACTTTCTAATCACACTCTAATATTCTGACTAATATCGACTACCTATTACAGGTGGACCTTTTCCAATTGGATTTAATCAATCCGTGGATCTGAAGAGGAGGAGCAGGCGTCGGTCGTTGGAGGCGCCGGCATAGACAACTTTTCCGAGACGCGAGCGCCCAGCGGAGCAGTCGCCACCACGACGTCGACATCGCCACCGCCGCCGCGAGCCGCGCTGCTGTCACCAGCCGAGCATTTGGACGCCAGCGCCGACGATCGCGGGCGTGTCTACAAGCTCCGGAAGAAGAAATACCTAAACGCAGCGCATATCACATAGGGAGGAAGTAGTCGTCGGAGGTGAAACAGAAACGAAGAACGGATTTTGGGTGCTTAGAGGAATCGGTGCTTAGGAGTTAGGATTTAGATTAAGGAGTTCAAAACTGGAAAAAGGTATCTCATTATCTTAACTTATCTATCAAATAATGTACTAATGGTTTCCTCTTATTTTCAGCATAATTTATCACCAAGAGGAATCAGCGAAAGAGCAATGCCCGTACAATCCCCCATCGAGATCAGCAATCGTGCCATCGAGCACATAGACGATGTGGATCCACTGGAATACCATGGCCACTGGGAGCCGGTGGGAGTGGCCCGGGTACAAAACACAGGCACCTCCGCAATGGTAACTTTCAGCAAACGAAAGCAACAGCCATACATAATCGGAGGTGCCTTGGACACGGACATGTACGTGTTTGAGCAACTGCACTTCCACTGGTCAGATTGCGATGAGTCCGGCTGTGAGCACACCCTGGAGGGCATGAAGTACTCAATGGAAGCCCATGCAGTTCATTACAATGCTAAGTACAAGGATTTCGCAGAGGCCAAAAACAAGCCTGATGGCCTGGCCGTCGTAGCTTTCTTTATACAGGCCTGCGGTGAGAAGGATTGTCCGGAGTTTAAGAAGATCACCGAAGGCATACGCATCGTTCAGAAGATCCACACGAGTGCATCGCTGGATTCCGGTAAGTTAGAGTAGAGTGTTTCACTGTATTTGGAGGCACTTTTATATTAATTTTTTTATTTCACCATTTAGACTGCCTATCGTGGATTGGACTGCAGGAGTTGAGCAAACATTATTACACCTACAAGGGCTCGTTGACAACGGCGCCGTACTTTGAAAGTGTCACCTGGATCATATATCGTACTCCCATCTACGTTTCGCGTGGCCAGGTTAGTTTGGTTCTTTGGCTCCCCCAGCATTGCCCTACTTAATTTACATTTTAGAATGTTATTAACTTCCATCTCACTTTGCAGGTTCAGGTGTTTCGCAATTTGCAATCGTGTCCCAAAGATGAGTCCAAAAAGATAGTCAACAATTATCGCGAGATCCAGCGTCCGCACAAGGACCCAGAGATCTTCTTTGCCCGCAACACCAATCCAAAGTCCAAGTTATGATGTGCTTGACATGTACGACTTGGGTCCTTCTCTCGATAAACTAACATGCGCGCCTCCTTTATTTTCCAATCCTTTCCCCATTCTTCCGCCCATTTTCGCCTGTGAAAAATGAATCCTATCTAAACTATTTCTATATGTAAAACCAATATCTGTCTATGGTTGTCTATAAGCTGCTTTTGTTATTTGCCTCATGTACATAGCGTTATATATATATCTAATTAACAAACATACATATATCTATCTATCTATATATGTATATATATATATAGATATATATATATACGGAATAATTATGATACGGTTACGTGTATGGAATCATTTTAGTCGGAACACGCGGTTGCCTTGCATTGAATATTTCAGAGAAATATCGGGCACAACTACTTAAGACATCTACAAGAGACGTAATCCTAACGTTTAAGTTAATAAGTTAAACAGTGAAAAAAAAGCAAGAAGAAAATGAGAAAAGCAAACCAACACACACATTTTGTATGTCCCAACTGAATTTATTAAATATATATCTCTAATTAAACATGTATAAAAGTATATCAAAACATCATAGTCACATTATGTATTTTTTTAAATCTGGAGTAGTAGTTGACTTTTCAAATCAATGGTAAAAGCTCTCCTTTGTCAAATTCTTCTCTATCACATGTTTTTCTTTTTTTCATTCTTTGTTTTATATTCTCATTTTTCGAGTAGCAGAGGTACTATGTTCTTGATAAACCATTCTTTGGATATGGCCAAGTGATCGCCTTCAACGCCAACAAAGATAAGTTTACCATCTTTGTCCATCTGGTCCAAGCCCAGCTTTAAAGGATAAATTAAGATAATATTAGAAACGTAAGGGGGAATTACTTCAATAATATGTATTTTTACGAACATCTTGATAGACTTTACTCTCGTTAAAAGGCTGGATGACTTTGTCCTGTCCTGTGGTGTAGTACTGGAACCACTGCGACTCCTTGGGCTGGACAATTGTATCGTTCAAGAACTTCACCATCACAAATCTGCAGGGCATTTTGAATATCTTATAGTTTAGATACTATTTCGGGTTTCACAAACACTAACTACCTCTTTAGTTTGTTCAGGTTCTCTATATAAAACTCGTTGAAGTAGAGCTCATTGTTAATGTCAGCCAGGAATGTGCTGCCCAGTCGGTATGAGTTCTCCATGATTGGATCGTGCCAGTAGGTGGCTTGCACCAAATTTCTTTGAACTTCCCTACCGTGTTAAACAAGAAAAGGGAGGAAAAAACACACCGTTTAGAAAGAGATGGTACTATTAGACCGGAAACAATCTAATTTCCTTATGATATGATCTTGTATTCACACTTTTGCAGCACTTGAACTCACTCCGTATAGGCTGCACGGTTGAGGAGCCTGCTAATATAGTCGCAGGCGCTCTCGCTTAGTGTTGGGCACATGGGCAGACCGAAGACTCCTTGGTGCTGGCCACCAAAGGTTATGAGGTTTCTCATCGGCGGAGTGGGACAACGTTGGGCCACGGCACGCAGGAACTGACCACCTTGCGAGAATCCGATGGCATTGTAACCCTTGGCCAGGCGTTCATCCATCAGTAGCTGTTTGCAAACGAACTCCACCTGCTCGTTGGGATGGATGAAGAAGCCGCTTTCCCAGTCCATTACCGGATTACCACCAATCTCCAGCGATCGCACATAGGCTCCCTTTGTCTGGTCAACAATTAGGCTCATAATGCCACCCAAGCTGAATGGGACACAGCAGGTATCGCCCATTCCGTGCCACAAGACTACCGGCAGGACATCCGCATTGGTTCCACCAGCCGTTGGCTTCCACCAAATGTATCCCAGGATTAGTCCAACGATCAGGAGTAGCCAAAGTACAATTTTACATCTCATTTTTGGTATTGTTTATTCGAAACACAAACCAAAGCACATAATTAAGTTATTGGAAACAAAAAGCGATATCAACTGCACCGGCGTTATCGATAGAAAATGACACGAAACCGGAACAGCTGTTTAAATAATATGGGTACTCTCCATATTTCTGGTGTTATGATTATACTTAGTCTAGACCTAAGTCTATGAATTTGGATAATAAAATGCTTAAATATTTATACCTCAACGAGAGTTCAAAATGGGTAACATTTCCCTGTACTTATTTCCCAACACTGGCGGCTGGTTGGACTTCATCAATACAGGGGAATACCCTGAATGCCATACAAATGCCTAACAGCTGATACTGCGAACACATTGCATCCTTCCTTCGCATTTGTTGCTTACCGCTTAATAGCGTCTTCTTTCTGTTTAAATTGAATCAGCTATGTCAACAAATTTAGTTTGATTTCTTCACTTTAATGAGTGTTCAATTCATAAGAAGAGCGCCTCATCTGATTCCCATCATGAAAGCTGTTTTACAACACCAAGGCTCTATAAATCTATCCCTCGATGAGTGTGATTTAGAAAGAACTTTGCTTGGAGGACAAAGTTTTCGGTAAGTAACTTTAAAAAATAATAATAAAAAAAAAAAACATTAAAAAACACTTAATTTTATAGATGGCAATCAATTTGTGATGGAAATAGTACAAAATACAGCGGAGTCGCTTTCAATATTTACTGGGTGCTTCAGCAGGAAAAATCCTGCATTACTTACGAGGCTTACGGAAGTAGCTCTCCATCGAATAAACTAGACTACACATCTTTAATATCAGATTATCTACGAGCTGATTTCGATCTTAAGCTAAACCAAAAAGATTGGTTGAACAAAGATGAGAATTTTGTGAAATTTTTAAGTAAACCTGTCCGTGTACTTTCCCAAGAGCCCTTCGAGAATATATTCAGCTTCCTTTGCAGTCAAAATAATAATATTAAGAGGTAAAATCAGTCATACATTGCCAGTACCATCAATTCATGTAATTATTTTTAGGATATCATCAATGATTCAATGGTTTTGTTCGACTTTTGGCAACAAGATTGGCAATTTCAATGGTTCCGATGAGTATACATTTCCCACGATAAACAGATTCAAAGACATTCCATGCGACGATCTTAATGCTCAACTAAGAGCTGCCAAGTTCGGTTATCGGGCCAAGTTCATTGCACAAACTCTCAAGGAGATTCAGAAAAAGGGTGGACAAAACTGGTTTATAACACTTAAGAGTTTGCCTTTCGAAAAAGCTCGCGAGGAATTGACACAACTTCCAGGAATCGGTTACAAAGTCGCCGATTGCATCTGCCTTATGTCCATGGGTCATTTGGAATCCGTTCCCGTCGACATTCATATCTACAGAATAGCCCAGAAATACTATCTGCCACATCTAGCGGGCCAAAAGAACGTTTCCAAAAAGATCTACGAAGAAGTTTCAAATCATTTTCAAAAAGTTCACGGCAAATATGCGGGTTGGGCTCAAGCGGTAGGTAAACTTTAAATAATCTTAATTATTACGAATTTTTTTAACTCTAAAATTATTTCAGATTCTTTTCTCTGCGGATTTGGGACAATTTCAAAAGATACCTGCCGATGATTCTAAAAAGAAATCGAATAAAAAGCTTAAAAAATGCTAATTTAAACTAAACTGACTTCTGTGTTTTGTCTTGGTATTCCAGGTTGGGATCTTTATATTTTTTAATAAATAATTTTATAAGTGCAATATTTTTAATTAAGAGCAAACACTCGTTAGTCTTTCTTTACATTGTTTCTTTATTGCTAAACAAAAATTCTTATACAGATGTATATGATTAAATAAAATGCACATTAAATGTCCGTTATATACACCGCCATATATTTTTGTGTACAGTGATCGCTCGAAATATGAACTGTTGGGTATTTGAAATGGTTAAGCAACTTTTGAAGTATAACACATTTTTTTTATTTGATTTTTCAAATCATTGAATCGAAACAATTATTAAAATAGTTTAGTAAAGGTTGGTCAGGTATATAAAAAATTAATCAGGAAATGGCGAAATTTTAAATAGACCTTGAAAAACTATAAGAAAGAAAACTATGGGCAAGTGAGCACTGTACGCGTGTGAGTATCAGCATTTTTATTCGTATCCATGGCCGTATCCGTATCTAAATCATAATCCTTGTCTAAAGGACGCCATTCGATTCCGCTGATCCCGCTGCTGCCTGAGAGCTCTGCTGCTGTTGCTGGAGCTTGCTGCTCTGTGAGAAATCAATACAGGCGCCGGAAGTGAGATCGATCTCCTCGGAATCAGATCCATCTGATCCCTCATCGGAGTGTCCGGATAGGGCGGACATTCCGCCAAGTTCCATGCCATGCGTTGGCGCCTTGTAGAGCTTCAGTTCCGTATAGGTCTTTGATAGCTTATCCTGATCCTGGGTCTGCTGCTGGTGTCCCTGCTGCTGTTGCTGTTGTTGTTGTTGCTGCTGTTGCTGTTGCTGCTGGAATGCTGGATGCATCATCGTGAAGCTCCCGGAACTGGGTCCATTGCTCACCTCCCCCATGTCGGAATCCTTGCCAGCGGAGGAGAGATTCTCGGGCGTCTGGCTGGGCGGTCGTCCAGGAGCACCAGGTGCGGATCCACCCTGCACCGAACCACCGCCCATGACCGGAGGCGTGCCCAGGCTAAGGCAGCGCATCCGCCAGGCATCCTGGAGTAGCTGCAGTCGCGCCTGCTTACGCCACTTGGCCCTACGATTTTGGAACCACACCTACAGACACACATTAATTCGAATTATTTAACTGTGAATGTTTATTAATAACTTTTCAATGTTTAAGTCTGCCAGTTATATTCGAAATTATTCAAACAAAACAAAATTTTTAAATTATCGAACAGAATAAAATAATGTTAAATACTTTTCAATGATTTTTTATAATTTCGGAAGCAGAAGTATTTTGTCCATTACGAAATTAATTAATTAAACTATTTAAAAACAGGATATAAATTAATTGAAATTTAGTTATTATTGAATTGTTCTTCGAAATAAAAATTAGTTTCCAGATTAAATAATAAATAAATAAAATAACAAAAACCAAAGCGGTAGGGTCCCAAAAAAGTATGCTACTAATTTTAAATTCCCAAAAAGTCCTTTGATGTTGAAAACTTTAAACGCCAATAGGTCATGGGTCAACTGGCTAGGATACTTTGCCTGCTCTTTGCGGGGGAATTCACCTGGACGCGTGCCTCGCTGAGGCTGATCCTCAGGGCAACCTCCTCGCGCAGAAAGACATCGGGATAGTGAGTCTTCTGGAAAAGTGCCTCCAACTCCTGCAATTGCTGTGGCGTGAATGTCGTCCGATTCCGGCGTTGTCGCCTCCGTCCGAACATATACTCAGTGAGCAGATCGCCGGGCAGCGGGGATATAAAAGGACCAGCCATATTATAAGTGGTTTTGGTTTCTTTTGCCTCTTTTCTGCTTTTATATTTTAACTCTAAAGTGTTCCTTTTTTGTTTTATGTTTTTATAAACTTCCTACAAATTCTCCAAGGGAATATTCCTGATTTAGTTTTCCTTTTAAATTTGATCAAGTTTTCATAGCATGTTTATAGTTGTTTTCTTATTAAGTTTTTGCACAAAAAAACCTTTTTATATATTATTGGTTTGCTTTTTGATTTCTTGATTTATTGTGTTATTTATTTTATGTGTTGTCCTTTTATATTATATTTTGTTAAATATTATTTCCTGGAATCCTTGTGATTATTTTCGATAGATTTTCACTCCCGGCACACAAAACAAAAAAAGGTTTTTTCAAAGTTGCTTTTTAAATCACTAAAAGTTGGCGCCACCACAAAAAAAAATATTATCAAAGCGAGGAGAACTTCTTTGAGTTTCTTTTTTTAGAAGAGCTGCTTTTCGCTAAGCGTTTCGCCAGCGACTGTGGAAATGCAGGCAGCATCCTGTGGCTTTTATGCAACTGCCAAAGGACTCGGGCTAATATATAGGTGTATGTGGACTGGTATGTGTATGTGAGGGTGCGCCTGCGACTCGCTTTATAATTAAGAGACTCACACACACAGGGACAGAATGCAAAATACAGCTAATTTGTAGTTTTAAGGGTTACTTGTTGCTTAAGAAAAAAGGTTAAAACTTTTAAAATAAAATAAAAAAAAACTGTAATTTATATTTTTATTTCTTTTTTATAATATTTAAATATTGATTTTTCATTTTTTTGCAATTAATTTTACTTCGTTCTCTTGCCTTCTGTCTCTCTTTCGCTGTTGATTTTGCTATCTCACTCTAGCCTCGGCCACGTTGCGCAGCCTCCGATTGTTAATCTCGCTCTCTCATTTGTTCAAGCCAAAGCTTGTTCCCTCGGCTCTGCTTTCTCCCCTAATAGTTGTTGTTTATTGTCTTCTCGTTTTGACTTCGTTAAATTACGGCACAAGCACAAAAACCTCATAAGCGTTGTTGTTTCGCTTACAGTGGGGCAAAAAGCACAACAAACCAATAACCTTTCTAACCTATATATAATATTATTTGAAAATATACATATTATTCAAATAATTATATAATTAATATATATTGAAACAGAAACAGTAACTTGAAGTATTGGTATACATGGTATAATGTTAAAAAATATGCAACAGATAAAAGGAAGCGTGTCCAACTCTTTAAAGTTTAGGTATTCCTGATTTATAATTTATTTTATAATATTTAATTTCTCAGTTCTGTATTTGTCTTACCCTATTTGTTATTGGTGTTGTATGCACTTTGCTTTTACATTCCCACCTTCAAGTTCCCTTTCAGGCACATTTTATATTTGCACTCTTTTTTTAAGCACTTTGTTCCACTGTACTGCCTTCGCCTGCATTGTTTCGTATATGAAAATGTACCTGTTGTAAATAATAAAATTCAAATCACTTAATGCTGCCGGCAGCGTCGTTGGCAGAGATGCTGGCGTTGGCAGAGGGACAATGACAATAAGGCAACACCCCGTACACACACACACACACACTCATACACACATACGCAGAAGGGGAGAGGGCTGTTGTAAGAAGGAAAAAGGAGTGGAGGAAGAGAAGGATCAGCACAAAGGGCGCATAAGAAAATGAGGTTGCCACCACAGCTGATGATGAAGATGAAGGCAGAGAGAGTAGTGGTACAGAGGGGGGATATGAAAGGGAAGGGGGAAAACAATGACTGCCTCTACCTTAAGCCCCCTCTGATTCCCCACTGTAAATGTGTGTATTTGTGTGTGTGTTAAACAAATGAAGGGATGTAATTTTCTCATTTGCCTGGCATTGTGTTTTGTTTTTGTTTTCGCTTTTTTTTTTGTTTTTTGCGCTGCGCTTGCGCTGGAAATTATATTTATTTATTATTTATGAAGAATAGGCGTGGCACTACACCGCCCACCCCCTGAACCTCTTGCCGTGCACCCCCGCTACTTTTTCGCCACCTGCCGGGGCTTTTGTGTTCCGCCTTTTATTTCATTTGCTTCCTTTTGCACACAAGCCAATCATAAGCGAGACCAGATGTCCTTGTGTGGGTGCGCTTGTATCACAGTGCAGTGTGTGAGAGAGAGTGTTCTGTGTGCGTGTGTGTGAGGGTTGACCAGGATAACGAGGATAACGAGCTGAAAACAACTGACAGCGTTGACGTTGACAGGCTCATTCAAATTACGCGAAATTATCACAGAAATGTTTCATTGTTTTCAGCTGTGTGTGTAATGTTTTTGTTTATTTGATTTTTGAAATAATAATATAATAATAATAAATAATTATATGGAACTTTGTTTTTATAAATATACTTTAAAAGTTATGCTTTCTAACTTTGTTTTGTTTTTAAGAACAGTAAAGGGAACTTCCATTTTGGAAAAACCTTTTGTTTGAAATATTTTATTACTTTCTTTCAGATTTTTTAATAAAATTTGTTTTGCAGACAGTTTTATATTGGAGTTTACCCACATATAAAATAATTTAAAAAACTTTTCGCTTATCATAAATGTATATAATATTCACAAATATTTTAATATAATTAATTCCAATTTTTCAAACTTTAAATAGCTCATGATCCATGGTCGTGTTTTTATTATCTCTCCATTACTTTCTTTTCACTTCCTTTCTCACTCTGACTGTCTTCCTGGCGTTCCCTCAGCGCCATTTTTAATTTTGTAATTTGATGCTGGGCTGTTATGTTGTTGTTTCCTGTTTCCCGTTTTGCTTTTTATGGTTGTTGTTGCTGGAATTCATTAGGCAACGCGTTTTCCACCTGAGCGTGGAGTTTTCCCATCCACTTTTCCCTCTCTCTGGCTCTCTGCTTTTTCTGTGTGTGTGTGTGTGTCCATTGTTTTGTCGCGCTGATTGGTCTTTCACTTTGCATGTGTTTGTGAGCTGCTGTTTACGTGTATATGTATGTGGAAGTGAGTGAGCGCTCTTCATTGTTGTTCTGCCTCTCGCTCTCGCCTTTTGCTGCCGTTGTTAATTATTTATTTTAGCGCGCTCCTCTTCTTCCGTTTTTCTCCACCCCTTATCACTTCCCAGCCCCTCAACCATTTACTTACCGCTTTTTGATTTAATATGCCGCCAAAAGAGGAACAAAATGGCGACTGCTTGATATTCGCTCTAAAGTAGGCAACACATTTTTAACAACGTTTTCACTCAAAAGGAAACAAGTTTCTATTTAATAACTTAATTTACACAAATATTAAACATATTTATTTGTCTATTTGCACACTGTAAATAACTGTAACTCTATAACTTTGTTATGGCCAAAACACTGTAATTTTTGTGAAAAATAACCAGTTGACTTCATCACCTTTTTCCGAAAAGTGACAATAAATTTACTTTTTCAACTTTGAATGCAGATCTGATAAGCATAACAAAACAAGCTTAACGAGATATTACATTCCGTATTCGGACCAATATTGGCTTAGTTATGGACAAAATATGGCCATTTTGGGAGGAAAATCAGGACTAACATTTTCGATAGGGGAACCACCATCAAATGTTGCTAAATATGGCCAAAAACCAAGATTTTAAGTTGAGAATACAGTTCCTGTTTGTTGGGAATTTAATAACAAACTCATCGAGGTATTACACTCCATATTTGGACCCCTATTGGCTTAGTTATGAATATAATACTACACATTTTGTGGAGAAATGGGGACAAACCGAATTTCTTGTTTTCAATAAGGGGTAACATCACCATTTTTTAGGAAAAATGTCAAAAAATTTACATTTTCAACTGTGAATGCAGTTTTTATGAGAATTAAAATGCAAGCTCAACGATATATCACATTCCATATTCTGACCATTATTGGCCAAGTTATGAGAAAAATATTTTCTCTTTATTAGGGAATTCGGGGCAAACCAAATTTCGTATATTCGTTAAGGGGTAACATCATCTTTTTTTGTGAAAAATGGCAAAAATTTTTAATTTTTTATGTGTGAATGAATTTTTTTAGGAAATTTAATTACGAACTTTGGATTATTATTGGCTTAGTTGTGGGCATAATTTTGTGACTTTGAAGAACTGAAGTGACTTTTTAAACTTTGAATTCTTAAATTTATATCCTATCTTAGAATCATAATTGTATATTGTTTTTACTTAACTAGTTGTTAAATGCTTTGGACTTAAATCAGTTCAATAATAGTTAGTTAGCCTGCAGCTTTGAATCGTTTTTAAAGCCAAAAATGTTCCTTAAATACACAACACAAAAACCGAATATAAACAATACAATTGCGCGAAAAAAACAAGAATTCCCTGCGGTGAAAGAAATGATGATGTTAGTGGGTGGTTTTCGACAGGATTTTTGGGTTGTTTTATGCCGTTGTGTGTGGTTGGTTTCTTCGCCGCCAAAGACGCTAGTTAATTGGAATTTTTAATTATGATTTGTCAATGCTGACAAAAAGAAACGAAACAACAAAAAAAAAAAAAAATGACGAGGGAAAAAGCCGGAGAAAAAAATAAACAAAAAGCATAACAAGACAAAAAACACGAGGGAAAAGGATGGGGGAAATGTCCTGGTGCGAAACGAAATGGATAACAAAGCCTGAAGGATGAGGCAAAAATATATATTAAGATGGAATTTTTCCGTTTTATACCTTAAGCATATTACGCATAAAACTAGGTCCTGTAATCTCGGCTCCCACCCCATCGTTGCTATTTATTTAATATTTTCATTTTGTTTTATATTCCTGCCTCTGTTGCATTTTGTAATCATTTTAATTGCCCCAATAATGAGTGCACCATCCCCTCACCTTGCCAGCACCACCCCTCCTACGCCTTCTCTTGTACCCACCTGGCACTCGCTTATGAAAATCATTAAGTTAATTACATTTTTTGCACGCCAGAGAGACAGAGAAAGGGTGAAAAAAAAAGAAAAACACAAAAATTATAATCAGCGCCACACAAAAGCACACCGTGATGTTTTTTTTACGGGAGGAGGCGAAGGCGGGGGCGGGGGCGTGGTCCAGGCACCTCAACTGCAAAAATGGGTAAAAAAAAACGAAATGCTAAAAACAACATGAGAAAATATTTCTCATAATACTAATTGCATAGTCACAATGTCATTTTGCCAGGGGGTTGGCTAAATGAAGGGGGGCATAAAGGGGAGCTCAGTAGGCGCCCATGACAGCTGTCTGTCAGCGGAGACGAGCCAAAACGAGATGAGAGATGTACT